GGGGGGGGGGGGGGGGGCGGGCAGGTGGTGTTAGCAAGGCCCAGGGGCCAGCACGCGGGCCACGCCTTCCGTGGAGCACTGTCAGCCACAGGGTGACCGACGCCTCGAGCTGCTTGTGCCTGCGCCCAGGGCGTGGGTTCCCACTGCCGTGAGCCCGGGAGCTTCCTCAGCCTGGAGGGGAGGAGGGAGCAGAGTCGGACGCTGGCAGGACCGGAGGGTGGGCCTCAGGGCGGGGTGAGTGGCAGATTTAGGAAGTGCCCCCCAAGACCCAGTTCCCCAGGCGCTTGACCAGGTGGTGGTCATCACGTGTCTCACACCCAGGCCCAGCACAGGGCAGATGCCCGGGGACACCGAGAAGCTGCTGGGGCTGCCACCAGCGAGGCGACGGCAGCCCTGGACCCAGATCCGAGAGCTGCAGGCCGGCCGCCACCCCAGTCAGACCCACTATCTTTAGGAGACGGGGGAACCTTGGAGCAGATCCTGGCAAGAAGCCGCTGCATGGCTCCGGAGGCGGGAGCCTCGAGCCAACCCCCCCACCCCGCACCCGGCCAGCTGGGCCCATGGGGTGTCACCGCTGCAGGGCCCAGAGCCCCGAGATCCCTGCTCGTGTGGAGAACGCTTGTCCCAGCACACGAGGCGCCCCAGCCGGCGTGCACACTGCACACACACACACACACGCACACACGCGCACATACACACACGCACACACTCACACACACTGCACACACTCGCGCACGCACGCACACACTGCACACACACGCACACACACGCACACACACTGCACACACGCGCACACGCGCACACACACTGCGCACACACGCACACACTCACACACACTGCACACACTCGCGCACGCACGCACACACTGCACACACACACACAGTTTCACCGGCTGAGTGCAGCAAGAGTCAGACTCACACACAAGCCCTGCGTCCCGGCGGAAAGTGTGCTAGCGACACAGACACGGCTCCATGAGGAGGAGACGCAGCCACGCGGAGTCCGTGAGCAGAGGGGCCAGAACCTCCCCCTGAGATGGTTCCGTCGCTGCTGCCTCAGGTGAATCCGAATGCCAGATGCCGCCAGGCTCGCTGAGATGTGCACACTGCTTCCCGTGGACAGAGCTTCTACCCCAGCCTCCCACAGTCCACGGTGCGCATGCACACACACAGGTACGTGCACACACTCATGCATGTACACACACTGCGTGCACGTGCAATCATGCACGCACATAGGCACACACAGACTTGTGGGTGCTCACACAGTCTTTTTTCTGTGAAGCAAGGGGCACTCCTACAGCAAGTGAGTCAGCGACGTGGTAGCTTCACCTTGTTTCACATCATGGATCACAGAGAAGCTAAATCTGATGACGTCGGGGGCGGACGGATAAGCCCTCGGCGAGAGGTGCGTGCTGCCGCCCAGACATGCCAGTCCCTGCGTGAGGCACGGGTGCTCGGGAACGAACTCGCCTGCAAACACGGCCAGAGGTTGTGGCAAATAAAGGTGCCGGCACGTGGGGAATACGCGGGGTCGGGGGGTCCATTCAGACACTGAACTAAGGGTGCCAGCTCTTCACAGAGCAGCACCCGGGTGCGTCCAGGTGAAACCCTCCCCTGCCAGACTGGATGCCCAGGCCGCCTCTTCCCAGCATGGAAAAGGGAGTGTGTGAGCCCCTCCTGCCCAGGCCGGGGCTGGGCCACCTCCCTCCCTTGTCCCCACTCCCTCTGTGGGGGTGGAGCCTCAGGGGACCCCTCTCCAGGCCTGGGACCGGGCTGTGTCTCCCGTCTCCGAGGCAGAGCCCACCAGTGGACACCTGAGCCCAGGTCTGGGGCCGCCTGTGGGACCAGGTGGAGAGGGTCATCTCCCTCCACGGGAAGGAAGCCCCCCCCCACCTCACCCCCCCCCCCAGCCGCTGGGGCGCCCGAAGGCCCCGTCATTCCCAGGCAGCAGGCAGCCCAGGCCTCAGGCCTCAGGCCTCAGGCGAGGGGGCAGGCGTGGCGAGTCAGCTGGTGGCCCAGGCCTCTAATCGCCACTAAGCAAGGCTTTGCTGATGACAGTGTTTGCGGGAGTCTGCGCACACCTGGGGACGCCGGCCTCTCGGGGCGGCAGCCGGACACCATGAGCCTCCGCGAGGAGCAGGTGCGGCGGTACCTGGACCAGAACCCCGGCTTTGCGGACCGGTACTTCGGGAAGACGCTGAGCCCGGAGCACGCGGCCCGGGCCTGCGAGGACGGGGACGGGCTCCCCGCGGGCGGCGCCAGCTTCCGGGAGCTGTGCCAGGTGCGGGAGAGCGCGGCGCTGTTCGAGCTGGTGCGGGACATGCAGGAGAACGTCAACATGGAGCGCGTGCTCTTCAAGATCCTGCGCCGCCTGGGCCCCCTCCTGCGCGCCGACTGCTGCAGCCTCTTCCTGTACCGGCAGCGCAACGGCGTGGCCGAGCTCGCCACCCGCCTCTTCGGCGTGCGGCCGGGCCGCGTCCTGGAGGACTGCCTGGTGCCCCCCGACTCCGAGATCGTCTTCCCGCTGGACATCGGGCTTGTGGGCCACGTGGCTCAGACCAAGAAGATGGTGAACGTGAAAGACGTGAGGGAGGTGGGTTCCCGCCGCCTCCAGGGCCTCGAGGGTCCCAGGGGGGGAAGCGGGGGCGGGGGGGGGTCAGCAGGCCGCCCGGGGAAGCGGGGAGGGGGTGCCCGGGAGGAGCAGGGAGAGGCTGCAGCCCAGGAGGGGCCCAGCCTGGGAGCTAGAAGCAGGAGCCATGACCTTGACCTGCCTCTTCCACGAACGAGTCCAGAGGGGCCGAGCCCCCCAGCAGCCGCGTCCCCTTGTCCGCGGAGACAGACGGACGCGCGCGGACCCCAGGCTAGAAGGGAGGCAGCCAGGCTGCAATCCTCTTAGCGCCTCTGCTCCCAACCGCCTGCCTCCGTGGCCTGAGCAGAGTAATCTCCAGGATTAGCCTCTCTCTTCGCTTCCTTTTTAAGAAATGGGTCGCCCAAGACTCGGACTCCCAGAAACAGAGGCGCTCCGTAGTGGGGACCCTCCCCTGGTCTTGTCCCCTCGGGGGCTGGTTTTCCAGCCTCCCCACCCCACGCCTGTGCTGCGGGTGCCCCAGCTGCTCTGAGGGTCTGGTTCCACCTTCGGGGCGGAGGGCTCAGCACGCGGGACCTTCCGGTTCAGACACGAGACCCGCACTCACTGGCCAAGCGCTACCCGTCCTGCGGTCAGAGCTGAGCACTGAACCCGCTCACTCTGGCCTCGTGTGAAAACACGTCGCATCGGGAAGGGGGTGAGGCCGGCACATCCCTCTGAAGGACAGTCCGAGTCACCTCGGGGACCCCTGGGCGGGGCCCAGTCAGGGCTTGAGGACCCTGCCCCTGTGGAGACAGAACCTCCAGCCCCTCCCTCCCCACCAGGGACTTGCTTGGGACAGGTGTTCGGGTGGTGGGACCCCTGGGGCAGGTGCTGGAGTGGTGGGAGCCCCTGGGGCAGGTGTTCGGGTGGTGGGACTCCTGGGGCAGGTGCTGAGGTGGTGGGACCCCTGGGGCAGGTGCTGGAGTGGTGGGAGCCCCGTGGGGAGACCCCAGCTGGCGCACAGGCCTGGGAGGCCTGTGGGGGCTTTGGACAGATCCTGGGGCCCAAAGGAACCCTCGACGCCCACCCGCTGGCTGTCCCCCGAACACGCCCCATCAGACTGTGCTCCCCTTAGTTCAGCCACACGTATGTTTGGGGGAGGAGCCCATGGGTCTGGCCCCAGCCGTGGAAGGCAGGAGGAGCGGCAGCCAGGAGTAGGAGGGCGCCCAGGTGTCAGGTGTGGGGGGACCCAGTTCTGCCCACAGCCCAGGTGGGCACTGGGGTGGGGGTGCTGTGAGGACTGAAGAGTCTGGAAGCCAAGGTGGGGTGACAGGGACTGAGCCAGGCCCGTGGCACGTCCTCTGAGCTTCCTGGGCTCCCCAGGCCGGGGCAGGGCCGCTGGGCGTCAGCACTGACCTGGGGCCTCCATAGCCCCCCCGAGCCCAGGCCCACAGAGCAACAGCCTCTGTCTTTTCTCCGTCACCTCACAGAACCCCCACTTCAGCACCTTCGCCGACGAGCTGACCGGCTACGAGACGAGGAGCCTCCTGGCCACGCCCATCATGAACGGCAAGGACGTGGTGGCCGTGGTCATGGCCGTGAACAAGCTGGACGGGCCGGGCTTCACCAGGGAGGACGAGGACGTGAGTGCGGGCCCCCCCCCCGGCAGGGGGTGCGAGCGGCCTTGGCTCCGTCCCTCTGTCTGTGGGCGCCTGAAAGCCAGGCTTTAACGCCTGTGGTTGACCCTCCGTTCCAGGTTTTCCTGAAGTACCTGAACTTTGGGGCCTTGAACCTGAAGATCTACCACTTGAGCTACCTGCACAACTGTGAGACGCGCCGCGGACAGGTACCCTCCTGGCCCTGCCTCCTGGCCACAGCCGGGGGTCCAGGCCCCCAGCTCGCTCTGGACAAAGGCGGGCGGGGCGGGCCCACCTGGGCAGGTTGCCAGGAGTCGTGTGGTGCTGTGTGTGCCGGCCGACATCAGAGGCTGGGCCGGGCACCTGGGCTGCCACCCCTCACCTGGGGCCCAGGCGGGTGTGAGGGCACTGCCCTGCCTACCAGCTGCCCCAACCCCCTCTGGAAGGAGTCAGGGGATTGTGCACAGATGACAGGAACACAGTCCTGCTGCTTTGAGGCCGAGATCCCTGGTGGTTTGGCCCTGGCCACACGGGACGCAGGACAGCGTCTGCCTGCCCCTGAGCGAGGGCGTGGGGGCTAGAGGGAGGGGGGGCCTTGTGCTGTGGGAAAGGGGGACACGCCGCCTCGGCCCCTGCGTGCCCCCCTGCCTCCGAGTGCTTGGCTTGACTCTGGTGGGAGGTTTGCTGTGTCATCAGGTGCTGCCACCTAAGTGCAGGCTGACCTGGGTGCACACGGAGCCTGGGTTCCATGCGGCCCCTGGGAATTCGGGGACAGTCACTGCCATGAGAATAAGAATAAAAGCTGCTACAAACAGCAGCGCCTCCGATTGGGTGACCTTAGCGCAGGTCCGGCAGGAGCACTGGCCGCTGGTCACACAGCCGAGGGCCTGTGGCGACCAGGACGGGGCTGAGGGGCTGAGGGTTCCTGTTCCTGCCCAGAGAGGAGTGGACATCGGTCTGGTCACGGCCCCGCAGACGTGGGCCAATTAATAGAACGCGTGATGCCAGCGTTAGGGCCGTGTGGTTGAAGGACGAAGGGCCGGCACTGGGGGCGGGGTGACATTTGTGGTTGTGAACAGTTATCTGCTTTGATGTTGGTTATTAGACATCGTTGAGCCCGGCCGGTGTGGCTCAGGGTTGAGCACCGACCTATGAACCGAGAGGCCACGATTCGATTCCGGTCAGAGCACAGGCCCGGGTGTGGGCTCCCTCCCCAGTGTGGGGCGTGCAGGAGGCAGCCAATCAGTGATGCTCTCTCATTACTGATGTTTCTCTCCCTCTCCCTTCCTCTCTGAACTCAATAAAAATATATTTTTTAAAAAGGTGAATGATTGGAAGGGAATACGAATACCTATATGAGTGGATATGTGGGTATAGTTGTAACGTCATCTCCATTTTTTAACGTAGGTCATTACCTTCAATAACGCTGGGTGGAGCCCTGGCCAGTTTTGCTCAGTGTCAGAGAGTCAGCCCGGGACCAAAGGGTCTCAGGTTCTGTCCCCAATCAAGGGCACGCACCTCGGCTGCGGGTTCGACCCCAAGCCCCGGTCAGCTGGGGCATGTGCAGGAGGCAGCCAATCGCTGTGTCTCAGTCACACTGATGTTCCTCTCCCCCCTCCTCTCTCCCTTCCACTGTCTCTAAAGATCAATGAGAAAAATACCCTCACTCCAGGTTGAAGATTAAAAAAATAAAAGAGTCTGAGGTTCTAGCTTCTCCAGAGAGGTCACGCCCACACCTGACATGAGTCGTCGCCATCGAGCAGAAACAGCCCAGGGCCCCCCACAGGAGCGGGGAGGGAGGAGGTTCGGGCAGAGGGACAGAGCACAGGCCCTGTGTGAGGCCTTGGGGTGAAGCCCCAGGACACCCCGAGTCAGAGCAGCTCTGCACAGGGCCGGGTCTTGACGGGGGCAGAGGGCCTTCAGGGCTATTTGCTCTAAACGCCGACCTCGCGGCTACAGGAGGCAGCTGCCTAAACATCCACCTGCGTGTCTCAGCTCCCAGAGTTAGAAACAGAGACAGGAGGCCAGGGCAGGGGGGGCCTCGGGGGCCAGGCTGCTGGGGTCAGAGCGCCGCAGACACACCCCAACCCTGCGCCCATTCCTCCGGCTCTTACAGAACCTGCTCCTGGCAAGGGTGCCGCACGGTGACAGGGCCCCGGTCTAATCGGGGCTCAGGGGTGACAGACGGAGGGCCGGGTGGGAGCGGTGGGTCTCCCCTCGATGCTCCTGGGGAACGAGCGGGGGGGGGGATTGTCTTCACACAAGTGTGGGGGCTGTGCCCAGGCCTTTCGCAGCAGGACGGAGGTGCTCGTCCACCAGCTGACTCGTGTGGGCGACACACGTGGGCGACACAGGTGGGTGGCAGGTGTGGGTGACTCACCTGTAGACTCCAGGGGCAGCTGGCACCGGGCCCGCAGCGCAGATGGTCGGCGGCTCTCACGCCCCCTGCGCCGTCAGCAAGCTCTGGGGCTCTGGGTGGGGCTGCGGGGCCTCCTGACCTCACAGCTGTGATCGAGTGGCCAGACCCGAGACTGCTTCCTGAGGTCGGGAAGGAAGGGGCGCCATCGGGGTCTGGCTCCGCGAACACAGCTGTGAAGGCCCAGGGCGCAGCCTGTGCAAAGGCCCTGGGCCGGGTCGGGGGGGAGCGGGGACATAGAGGAAGCAGGCCACCATCAGGAACTCCTGGTCTACGTGGGCAGTGGGCTGCCTCCTGGCAGGAGGACACAGGTGGGGCCATGAGAGCCAGTCCCGGCCGGTGACAGTGGGGGCCGCAGGGGCCCCGGGGACTGGCAGCAGGGGAGCCATGCAGGGGATGATCTGACAGGAGGGGCTCGGCCCCAGGCAGTGCTCAGGCCGGAGGACAGGTGTGGGGTGGGGTTGGGGGAGCGGGTGAGACAGGCGGGGGCCAGGAGGTGCCCTGCCTTTGGGCTGTGGCTGAGGAGATAGAGGACTGGGGAGGGGCTCCCCTCGGAGTTCGTCTGAGCCTGGCCATCAGCTGAGGCCCGGGGGGGGGGTGACCCAGGGCCTCAGGGACCCTCGCCTCACCTTGCTGGCCCAGGACACCATGAGCTCGTGTCCTCAGAGCCCTGCCCCCACCATCTGACCAGGGCAGGCTGGTCCAGGCTGTGCCTTCCCAGCTCATGGCCACTGATGACAATTTCCATCACTCATCACGGACCCGGTGTGAGGCCAACCAGGCTGCGCGGGGCACGGACATGGCCGGAGCTGGAGGCCTCGTCCCCCAGGAAGCTCCCAGGCCCCGGGGTCAGGCGGCAGGAGCGGGGGCGGGTGCCCCTCAGAGATGCTGTTGGGGGGCCGCCTGGCTCAGTGTCCCCCGGGTCCTGCAGCAGGTGCTGTGCACGCGCGTCTCCGGGTGAGGGTGGTGCCCAGACAGGCAGGTGGGTGTGACCAGGGGCCATGGGTGCCGCCTGCAGGTGCTGCTGTGGTCGGCCAACAAGGTGTTTGAGGAGCTGACGGACATCGAGCGGCAGTTCCACAAGGCCTTCTACACCGTGCGGGCCTACCTCAACTGCGACCGGTACTCCGTGGGCCTCCTGGACATGACCAAGGAGAAGGTGAGGCCCCGCCCCCCGCCCCCCGCCAGGCCACGGGCGGCCGGCTCACGCTCTTCCTCTTCTCCGCCAGGAATTCTTCGACGTGTGGCCCATCCTGATGGGGGAAGCCCAGCCGTACTCGGGCCCGCGTACCCCCGACGGCCGTGTGAGTCATGGTGGTGGGGACAGGCCAGCCGCTCTCCAGCCCCCAACTCCAGGGCAGCAAGGGGCCCGGCCCGGCCCTGCCCAGGACGGGGGAGGGCGAGGGGACTGGGGAGCCAGGGACGGACGTCTCACCTCCCAGAGGCTCCCGGGGGTGCTGGCCGGAGCCCCTCACGACGCCCGTGTGGTCTGACCCTCAGGAAATCCTCTTCTACAAAGTCATCGACTACCTCCTCCACGGCAAGGAAGACATCAAGGTCATCCCGTGAGTGCCAAGGTCCTCCTGTGCCGCGGATCCTGGGCTGCGGGCGCCCACGTGGTGGGAGGCGCTGGCTCGCTGACCTGGAGAAAATGAGTGGGGGGTGAACCTCGCAGCGGCCATCCCGGGCGTCCAGGGAGCGTCCAGGGGCCCTGCCACGCGCCTGAGCTCGCAGGCCCTCTGGTCTCGTTGACACCGCACACCCAGTGGGATGGACCCCAGGGGACGTCTGCTGGGGGACAGCACGGCCGGGTGGGGCTCAGGGAGGGCCCGGTCCCAGCCTTACAGCCATGCGGCCATGGCCCTGGGCCCCACAGGCCGGTCAGGGCCCCACCCACAGGCCCCCACAGGGACCGGACCTTCAGATCCCGGCCCGGCCACAGGACAGGGGACCAACGCTCAGCTCCAGAGGCCACAGGAGGCAAAGGGGTTCCCACGGGGCCAGTGGCCTTGTCGTGGGCAGAGAAGGCGGAGGAGGCAGCACAAATGCCCCCAACCCTACCCTTCACTGCCTGCAGCCTCCCCAGCTTCCCTCCCCCCCACAACCCCTGCCCCACCCGGAGCTCAGAGAATGGAACAAACAGGAACACACACGCACGCGCACACCACACGAGCACACACACACGCACACGAGCACACACACACACACGCCTCACAACCCTGGGTCTGGCCCATCTGACCCTCTGCTTCTCTCCCCAGCACACCCCCAGCTGACCACTGGGCTCTGGCCAGTGGCCTTCCAACCTACGTGGCAGAAAGTGGCTTTGTGAGTCCCCAAGGCCCTGCCTCCAGCCCCAGCCTCAGCCCACAGGCACCCCCGCCAGCCCCAGCCTTCCCGCCACCCGCCTGGGGGCACCCCTGCCAGCCAGGCACCTCCCACCACCCGCCTGGGGTACCCCCGCCAGCCCCTGCCCCCGCTCGGCCTCTGTAGACGCTCCGGGCCGGACAGTCGCTTTCAGAATCGTGTGTCCACTCGGCTGCGCAGCTGAGACTGCCCTCTGCTCCCTGCAGATCTGTAACATCATGAACGCCCCTGCGGACGAGATGTTCACCTTCCAGGTAGCTGTTTACCAACAGGACAGGCACTGCCCTTGGGAAGAAGGGATCAGGGTTCAGACAGGACGCTCAGTTTTATTTTTTATATTAGTATTTTATTTCAGAGAGGAGGGGAGAGGGAGAGAGAGAGAGAAGCATCAACGATGAGAGAGAATCATGGAGCGGCTGCCTCCTGCACGCCCCTCACTGGGGATGGAGCCCACAACCCGGGCCTGTGCCCTGACCCGGAACCGAACCAGAACCTCCTGGTTCCTAGGCCGATGCTCAACCATTGAGCCACGCTGGCCGGGCCAGAATAGGCTTTTACTGCTTAAGAAACAACCTCAAAATCGCAGTGTCAAACAGCAGCAAACACATACAGGGCGTCCCCGCGCCCCCCCCCCAAAAATGTACACACACTTTAATAGCTGATAACTCACTAATTTAATAAACTCTGACTTTATAATTGTTCAAAGTGTGTATGCATTCGGGGCACCTGTATCTCACGCCCACCTGCCTGTGGGTTTGCTGGGTTCAGGGGTTCGGGTCTGCTCCCCCGCCTTCCCTGGGAACACTGACCAGGGCTCCTCTCCGGAGGAGGCTGAGTCATGTGCGCCGGCCGTCCCGCAGGAAGGCCCCCTGGACGACTCCGGCTGGGCCGTCAGGAACGTCCTGTCCATGCCCATCGTCAACAAGAAGGAGGAGATCGTGGGGGTGGCCACCTTTTACAACAGGAAAGACGGGAAGCCTTTCGACGAGCAGGACGAAGTGCTCATGGAGGTAAGCGCCGCCTCAGGAGCTGCTCCGCGGGCACGCCTGCGCGGGCACACCAGGACACGCCATCTGCTCCCC